CCACAATTGCTGCATGTAATTGTTCCCATCCTGCTTGTGTCCTTTGGAGCAGGCACCTCAAACTCCCCCTTTCTCCTAGCTGTCTGTTTTTTGCCTGCTTTTTCTTTGAACACTGGGGGCTCAATATCAGGAGTATGGGTGTCAGGCCAGAATTCAGGACCAGGGACAGGGTACACTATGTCTTTGTACGCTTCAATATATAGTGCTTTTTTGAAAAATTCATGCACATAGTCCTCTGGGTGCATGTGAATCTTGCTCATTGCTGCTATTGCATGACTGCATGTCACACCTGTCATGTCCCACCTCCTGCAGTCACATGATTGAGTAGCTAGGTTCACACAGTACTGATTTTCCTTACTATTAACTTGCCAAATGTCAGGACCTGCCTTATATGCATCACAAAATTTGGCATACTTCTTATTCTCCTCTAATTTCTCTGAATAGTTGGGTGTGATCATCCACCTGCTGTTCTCTGTTTTTTCCCTAGTCTTCTGCCTTTTGATCATCTGCTTAGTCCTAATTCCTTCAAACATAGTCCTAATTGGTTTGGCCCTAACATCAAGGATCATTTTGTTGAAAACCTCACTAAGGTTGTTCACAACAAGATCAGTTTTGCAATTGTAATCCATTGCAGACCTACACCAAGTCTCCTTTGGAATTTTTTAAGCCACTTCCAGGCATCCCCACACTCTGCTTTAAGCTCTGCCATTGCCAATTCATGGCCATGTTTGGTGAATGAGTAGCTAGCCTGATCTACTAGCTTCTTTAGTTCTGCTCCTCTGAAACCAGCTGACTGAAAATTTGCATATATGTGCCTGAGGCAGTATCTCTGAGGGGAATCAGGGAACACCTCATTTATAGCCTTAAGAAGACCCTGATTGTAAATTTATAACCATGGTCATGAACAAAAGGAAATAAAGCTACTAATAACAATATATATCTGAACTAGTGGCTAAGATAGGGTGCATACATTTTGCCTGTCAGAAATAATGGTGTAGGTTCCAAATTTGCTACCACTTCCAATGCAACATCTTAGCTGGGTTAGGAACCATGTCCAACTATCTGAATCTTCCTTATCAACCACACCAAAGGCTATGGGGTAGATGTTGTTATTGCCATCTCTTCCTGTGGCTGCAAGTATTTGCTGTCCAGTGGTTAGCTTGATGAAGCAACCATCAAGCCCTGCATCCATACCCAAATTAGCTACCATATATTTACAACAAGATATTTTGAACAAATTGCAGTTATAGATTTACCTATAAAGGGCCTGCAACCATTAAGAAATCCTTGCTTTGATGCATGCAAGCAGTAGAACATGTACTTAAATCTAGGTGTTGGGGCAGGGTTTTCTGGGTCCTCAAATGTTGTAACTACACACCTGCTACCAGGGTTTGTGTCAAGAACTTCTTGTAGGTAGTCCCTCAGTCTATAGTACTGCTCCTTCTGGTCACCTTGTACAACCTTCATAGCCTTCCTCCTTGCCCTATAGGCCACACTCTTTGATACATCAACTGAAAACTTGACTTTGCTGTTTTTAATAAGTGAATCCACAGGTGCTCTAGGATCTGCTCTAAGAGATGGCTCAACTTCTTTGGAAAGCCACTTAGTAGTAACTTTTGTGTTCTCTGCTGATGCTGGACAAGTGTGCTCCATGTTACACTTCTTAATGCAAAATGTTCTTTCATGAGCTATCCTGGAGGCACAGATGTAAAATTCACATCCATGCTCTCTCTGTGAACACCAAACAATAATTCTTGTTGGAGTGTTCCTGTGGTAGTGAAAAGACCTCAGAGTCCTTATATGAAAATCTCTTAATGCTTCTCTGAACTGGTAAACAGAATCAAAACACAAGCTCTTGCACAAGAGTAAATGTGAATTGGGAATTGAAGGGTCAAAATATACTCTTTCCTTCATCTTTTTCTTACTACTCTTTGTCTTTGCCTTCTTCATGATGTATGGTAGTTCAACTTCATCTTCTTCTTCCTCATCACTTATGCCTGGATCACCAGCAAAACAAAACTCATCTGCTTCAGGAAACCAATCTTCAAAACATTTTTTCTCTACCTCATTGTGACATCTGCTAGTTGGCCCAGGGTTCTTCACATGTTTCACAATAGCAGTACTTTGCAATGGTGTTTCCTCTTCAGAGGCACACTCTATTTCCATTTGTTGAACAGCTTCAGCACTACCATCTGAATGAACTGAATCATCAGAACAAAATTCAGACACTTCAGTGTCTCCTTCAAAGTGGTTCAAATCTGCCTCTCTTTGAATCCTGCTCCTCTCAAGCTGAGCCTTTCTATCATCTATCTCATTCTGAAACTCAGATTGCTCCACAACCTTTTGCACACAACAACTCTCTTGAGTGTTCATGTAATTCTGAATAGCCTGTGTACTTATTGCAGGTTCAACATCTCTCACAACCCTTATGTTCACAACATTGACATGATTAAAAAACTCCAACATTTCATGAACACTAGATTCATTACCTAAATACTTTACTCTTTCAGATCCAATTTCCTCCTCCTTCACATAGTACATGTAATCACTCTGCCCATACCCTTCACTAGCAATGAGTGATTGTAGAGTAACAAAAGATATATCTGACTCATATATAACCCTTTTCACAGGGTTTCTTCCTTCTAAATGAAACCATATCTCCCACTTCTTGTCAGCAAAACTGCAGAAATAGGTGCTCATGAATTCAATTGAAAATGACAGAGCTACAAGTGCAATACAGTTTACTACACATGTCCAACAAGCTCTAACAAACACATATTACTAATTTGCCAGATTGAAGCAGCTAACCAATTCATGAGCAGCTAACCTGTTTGGCAGATTGAAGCAGCTAACCTAGCAGATGATATTTTCCATACCTGCAACCCATTGGCGATGACTGGGCGAGCTGTGCCTCCTGCTGCTGCGAGCCGGCTGCGTCGAGAAGCTGGTGCTCCCCAACCAATTGTCGACTGAGCCCGCAGCGTCCAAACTTGTGCCACCGCCGCCTGCGTCGCCGCCGCCGCCGCCACCACCCATGTCTCCGACGCCCCCCTCCGGAACCACCGCCGCCATCGTTGCCGCCGCCGCCGCCACCTAGTTCAGAGAGAGGGAGAGGACGGAGAGAGTGCAGCGAGAGGGGAAAGGGTCAGATCTTGACCCGCACCCGACCGACAGCGGCCGTTCCGACAGGGGACGGGCCGTTAACGGCCGTCCGCGCGCGCCGGGCGTCAGTTAGCCCGCGTGGCAACTGATTCGCGGGCCCAACCGGTCAGAAACGGGGTTAGCGCGGGCGAAGCGAGCGATTTCCCGAGTTGGTAGTTTTTTGCCACGGTTTAGTCCAAATTTGATAGTTTTTCGCACAAAAACATAGAGTGGTAGTTTTCTGTCACGTTTCCGGCAAATGTGGTAGTTTTTGGTTAAATACTCCCGATGGTCGATCCCCAAATCCGAGAGAGCGCCGGCCGGGATCCGCCTCCGCCGTGCACCCTTGAAACGATTCTACTGTTCCCACGGAGGATTGAGCAATCACGCCGGGGCCTTTCGAGGTTGGCGCCGGAGCTGTAAGGAGCTGAGTTAGCGAACTTAGCGGACGGGGAAGGGAGGGAGGGAGGGAGGGAGGGAGGGAGCGAGCGAGCGAGCATCCTCCACATCGGAGGCCGTCCCGTCGCCACCTTCGTCATTCTTGCTTCTCGCTGTGGATCTACCAAGAGCGGGACGGAGCCTCCGGCGGCTCAGGCAAGGCATCGGTACACTTTTAACCTTTCTGTGCTTATCAGTATTCCATACTGAGAAAACTGAAATAAAAGAATGTTCATTCCCCGTATCCATATTGAAAACACTTCTTTTTTACTAACTTTGTAGTGCTGTGAGCACTCCATTATTTGTGCTGGAATCAAGTGTTGACGAGTGTGGTTTGTCATACATGCATGGAGTCTTGTCTTCTGGCATTAGCGCTTGTAATGGACAAGGGGAAATGGTTATCTTACAGGTAGCCGGCTGGCCTCATTCACGCAAGTATGAACAATATATTACCCACGCCGTCCCTTTCTCAGTACTTTTTATTAAATTGGTAAGCTAGCTGTAAGCATCACACTGCGCTTTCGTAATATGCTGGCATTGAGTAGTATTAGCGTCTGCGTTGAACAGGAAACAATGGTTATCTTCTACTCCCTTCGTCCCATGATATAAAAACGTTTATGACACTAGTCTAGTGTTAAAAACGTTTTTATATTTTGGGACAGAGGAAGTAGTATGGAGTCTCGTCTTCTCTTCTGGCATTAGCGTTTGCACTGAACAGGTAAAAATGGTTATCTTATACTCCCTCCGTCCCATAATATAAGAATGTTAGTGTTAAAAACGTTATTATATTTTGGGACAGAGGGAGTAGGTACCAGGCTGGCCTCATTAGCACTAGCATGAACTGTATATTACTCACATCGCCCCTTTCACTGTATTGTTTATTAAGTTGGCAGTTCGTAAGCATCACATTGCGTGTTGGTAATTTACATTCTCTTCCGACACCAGCGTTAGTAATGAACATGAAAATTGGTTAACTTATAGCTAGCGTACTCGCCTAATTAGCACAAGTACAAACAATATATTGCAGTCTCGCAGAAGACGCGGATGAAGCCTCCAAGCAAGTGCCTGGCAGAGACATCGATGGCGCGCCCTGACTGAAGACGGTTGGTGGATTCCTTCAGACTATAGCAGAAGGTGTTGGCAAAGCTGCCAGCGGGCACCATGACCCCGAGAAAACAAACTAGTCCTAAAATACGATTCTACAACTGTGTTTCTATATTGTGGTAGTGGGTGAAACTAACCAATGAGACCAAACCAAACGCATCCACATGTACGTCTTCGGTCTTCCCAAAAGTAAAAAATACTAGCATTATTTGCTTCCATTTTCCTCACAAGCAAGCAACCACATCTTGCTCAGACCATTATTCTCATCTCCACATTGTGCTTCTGTGTTCTTCGCGTTTGTTGTCCTTGGCGTTCCAATGGCGGAGCTTGTGGCCACCATGGTGGTCGGACCACTGCTCTCCATGGTGAAGGAGAAGGCGTCCAGCTACCTCCTCGACCAGTACAAGGTGATGAAGGGCATGGAGGAGCAACATGATATCTTGAAGCGCAAACTGCTGCTCATCTTGGATATCATCACCGACGCCGAGCAAGTGGCAGCCGAATCTGCGCAGGCAGCAGCCCGCAAAGCAGGAGTTACGGCCTGGCTCGAGGCCACAAAGAAGGTGGCTTATGAGGCGAATGAAGTCTTTGATGAGTTCAAGTATGAGGCACTTCGTCGCCAAGCAAAAAGGAACGGGCACTACAGGGAGCTTGGCTTCCATGTGGTAAAACTCTTTCCCACTCACAACCGTTTTGTATTCCGTAACAGGATGGGAAGAAAGCTCTGCAAGGTTGTTCGGGACATTGATGTCCTTGTGAATGAAATGAATGCCTTTGGCTTTCAAAATCAGCAACGACAGCCAGTAACCAACCAGTGGCGGGAGATGGATAACGATATCTTCGATGTGAAGAACATCACAAGCAGATCGAGGGAGAATGATAACAAGAATGTTGTTGATATTATAGTTGGTCAGGCCAACAATGCAGATCTCACGGTTGTTCCCATCGTTGGAATGGGGGATCTGGGCAAGACCACGTTAGCACAACTTGTTTACAATGACCCTGAAATTCAGAAGCATTTCAATATGCTGCTATGGGTGTGTGTCTCTGACGTCTTTGATGTGGATTCTCTGGCAAAAAGTATAGTTGATGCAGCTCCTGGGAAGAAAGACGATGGTACAGAAGCACTTGCTTCAAAGAAGAAGAATGATGGTACAGAAGCGGCAGCTTCCAAGAAGAAGACACCGCTGGATATCCTTCAAAATGTTGTGAGTGGGCATAGGTACCTCCTTGTATTGGATGATGTCTGGACAAGAGAGGTTCATAAATGGGAAAAGCTCAAGGCACGCCTTGAACATGGTGGCATGGGTAGCGTGGTCTTGACAACTACTCGTGATCAAGGAGTGGCTGAAATAATGGGCACTGTTGAACCTTATAATCTCAAAGCCTTGGAAGAAAAATATATAAAGGAAATAATTGAGACAAGAGCATTCAGTTGTTTTCAGAGGAAAGAGGACAGGCCGATCACATTGGTGAATATGGTTGGTGAGATTGTGAAGAGATGTGTTGGGTCTCCTTTAGCTGCAACAGCACTGGGCTCCGTACTGCGTACCAAGACTAGTGAGGAAGAATGGAAGGCTATATCAAGAAGAAGTAGCATTTGCACCGAGGAGATTGGAATCTTACCAATACTCAAGCTTAGTTACAACGACTTGCCGTCACATATGAAGCAATGCTTTGCTTATTGTGCTATATTTCCCAAAGATTACGAGATTGATGTGGACAAGCTGATCCAACAATGGATTGCACATGGCTTTATTATTGAAGAAAAGCATGTTCGTCTTGAAACCATCGGGAAACATGTTTTCAAGGAGCTGACCTCAAGGTCATTCTTTCAGGATGTGAAACAAGCCCGAGCCACAGTTAAGGAGATTGAAGAAACTGGCTTGTGTTATTGCAGAACTACATGTAAAATCCATGATCTTATGCATGATGTTGCACTGTCTGTAATGCAAAAGGAGTGTGCCTTGGCAACTGAGGAACCAAGTCAGAGTGAGTGGCTTCCAAACACTGCTCAACATTTATTTTTGTCATGCAAGAAACCAGGAAAACAATTGAATATTTCTATGCAGAATAGCTCTCCAGCTATCCAAACACTTATGTGTGATAGTTATATGGAAAATTCGTTGCAGCATCCGTTGAAATACAATGCTTTGCAAGTATTACAGTTCCGTTCATACAGAAGCTCATTTCCACTAAAACCAGACCATCTACATCACCTGAGGTACCTAGATCTCTCAGGAAGTTATATCAAAGCACTTCCTGACGATTTCAGCATTTTGTATAACCTGCAAACGCTGAACCTCTCTTGCTGCGAATATCTTGCTCGACTTCCCAGACAACTGAAGTATATGACTGCCCTTCGTCACCTGTACACTCATGGTTGCCCACAGCTGAAGAGCATGCCTAGAGACCTCACTGAACTTACATCCCTACAGACACTTACATGTTTTGTAGCAGGTAGTGGCTCTAAATGCAGTAATGTTGGAGAGCTTGGGAATTTAAACCTTGGTGGTCAACTAGAGCTACGTAATCTAGAGAATGCGACAGAAGAAGATGCAACGGGGGCTAACCTTGTGAACAAGAAAGAACTAAGAGAACTGACATTAAGATGGTCTGCTGGAGGGAATGATGCAAGAGTACTGCTGGCGAATCTCAAACCTCATGATGGGCTGCATGCTATAAGGATACACTCCTATGGAGCTACTACCTTTCCAACATGGATGGCTATGTTGCAAAATATTGTTCATATGCATCTCTTCCGTTGTGAAAAACTGCAGTGGTTGTTCAGCCATGACAGTAACACATCCTTCACATTTCCAAATTTGAAGGAGCTTACACTACAAGTTCTTGTCTCTTTAGAGAGATGGTGGGAAACGGATAATGATGGGATGCAAGAAGAGATAATGTTTCCTCAGCTTGAGAAGTTGGTTATTAGGCACTGTGGAAAGTTGACAGCATTGCCAGGACATCCGACCTTCCCTAACCTCCAGGACGTTCGCATTAAGGGATGTCCAGAATTGAGAACTGAAGCTAAATCACCAAAGCTCAGTGTATTGAAGATGGCAGGACGCGAGGTAGAGTTGTTCTTGTGGGTAGCGAGACATATGACTTCATTGACCAATCTGGAACTGACTAGCATTGAACATAGTACAGATACAACCTCGATGGGGGTTGAGAATAGTTTGAGGGAAGTGGTGAACATCAAGGAGAATGGGAATGCTCAAGACTTTCCTCTAGAAGTTTTGGTGTTAATAGACTTTAAGTCAGGTGTAAGTGTAACGGAGCTGTGTGCATGCTTTGTATACCTTCAAGATTTGTCAATTGTGAGGTGCCATACGCTCGTCCACTGGCCAGAAAAACTGTTTGACGGATTGGTATCCTTGAGGAAGCTTCTGATTAGGCAATGCAATAATTTGACTGGATATGCACAAGCTGCTGTTGAGCCATCAACATCATCCGAAATCAGTCAGCTCCTGCCACGTCTAGAGTATCTGACGATTAGTAATTGTGAAAACTTGGTTGAGCTCTTCAACGTCCCTGCATCTCTCAGGACAATGTACATTTCTAGTTGCAGAAAGCTTGAGTCTCCATTCGGCAGGAAGCAGCAGCAGGGACAGTCAGTATCATCGATTCATCAAGGGTCATCCAGTATAGAAAATTTATCATTATACAGCTGTGACGGCTTAACAGGGGTCCTCTATCTCCCCCGGTCCCTCAAGGGACTACACATTGTTAACTGTGGTGGGTTGGCATCTCTGGAATCCTGCTCTACTGAGTTCCAATCCTTGGAGTTCCTCGAGCTTTGGGATTGCAAGACCCTGGAATCCCTACCGGATGTGGCGCAAGCATACTCATCTCTCCAATATCTTTGCATTACAGTCTGCCCTGGTCTGAAGACGCTCCCTGCAAGCCTGCAGCAACGCCTTGGCAGCATCCAGCATGCATACGTAGATGCCCATCTTTATGGAAGTAAGCACGCAGCAATTACCTACTCTATTTCTACTTACTAGCGAGTGTTAAATGTGCTAGTCAGATAATGATAATAGCATCACTTGTAGGTCGACAGAAAACTGGAGCAAGTTAGATATTCCTTCATCTAAATCCATCATTTCTTTCTTTAATGATGTTCTTCTAACTGTAACTTTTACATGACTAATCTGTGTAGATAAGCCTATGCTGCTGAAGCCGAAGACATGGAAGTATGTCTGCAAAGGTTGAACTACTGTTCCCAAAGACTTGGAAGAGGTGTTGTCTGCAAAGGTTGGTGGCATTGACTGTACCCCTCGGATATATTTTGAGGAAAAAAATACATGCCACATCATTATATATTTGGCTTTCTTCTGGTGTTGACCGTGTATGGTTTCTTTCTTGAATTCTTCCAGCACGTACATACGGGTGGAAAAGAGAGATCCCTTGGAGTAGAACTAGTGTCTCGCAAGACCTGCCAGGATCAGAAACTGTTGCCTCCATGTTCGTTTTGTGATGTTGCCTGGACCAGACGCCGACATGAATGTTGTTGCCATGTTGAGTTGCAATGTCAGTAATCAGAAAGTGCTTCAAACACTATTGTTTTATCCCCGGGAAGAGATCTTGTTTGAACAATTGTATTTTCCACTTGTTTACCTGCGGGCTATGATCATTTTACTATTTATTTTTTGAACTGACAAGGCGACTCTCTGCCCTGGCACTGTCATTTTTTTTGGGTCTAAATTATGCCAGTATTTCCATTGGGTGATTTGCCCAGAACTGTTACTTGTTGACTCAATTTTAGGTATGTCTGTCCGTCGGTCTCTGTATGACTTATGTGTAACTTGGAAACTCAACGTTTGCGATACATTTTGACTTGTAAATACATGCACTGTTATTTAGTGATCATCATATACATCTGAAGCTGTTGATTGCCCTTTATATACACTCCGCACTAGTAATAATGTTGGTCCTGCAGTGAGTTTAGGAACTTCGGTACACATTGTCAGTGCAGGGCCAGGCTTAGATTTCAATTGATCGCCATATAAAGTTCAACTGGAGACTCGCCAGGATCCAAGTGTATGCCCACAGGCCACAGGAAGTTGTTGCCCTGTTGAATTGCCGAGTCCAGTAATCAGAAAGCGCTTCTTAAGTTATAATGCTATAGTACAGGCTTTGGTTTGTTTCGAGATTGACTGACAAAGAATAGGTAGGTTCTCTCTGTTCTCGCCGTGCGTATATGAAACTGTAGCAGGAAGTGTAGCACCACTGCATATACGATGTAATATATGCTCAAAAGAGCAACTTATTAACTGATCTTTCCGTTGGTCGGTCCATATATATATCTGTCAGGCTTTGTATGTACTCCCTCCGTCCCATAATATAAGTGCGTTTTTGACACTACATATAACAACAGTACTATTTTGACTTGTACATCCGCGTCCATTATCGCCTGTTTTGATTATTACAGAATGAGCTACAGATTATGAATGGACGGAAATTCAGAATGTTCACATTACACATAGTGCAGTGATAACCAGTTCATAAGCAGAGAGTTCATTCTTTTAAGGGAGAGTGGGAATGTGGGATTCAGAGATCATGCGGGGTTTCAATCAGAGAGACATGTCCGCAGTGGAGACCAGCAGCACGGACGGACGGCACTCCGGTTGTACTGAACTCGTCTGTGATCCTGACCTCGGTCCGGCAGCTTGTCGATGGATGCTGATCTGGCACGCCGTTGCCCGTTGGTGCCCTCGGTTTTGAATTGCGATTGACTCCACTGCATTCATCTGGTTTTTGTCCGGACAGAGAGACATTGTCTGCTGATACTGTCAGGCAAGTGCAGCAAGATGGTAGTTGTAACTGGTTTCAGACAGTAGCTTTGGATCAAGCCGCTTGTAACATGCTGAATTGCAGATGATGAGCTGACCTGGCTCCGAACCACCAGCGCGCGGACGAGCGAGCCCAGCAGCCTCTACAACTTTCTACTCGAGCAAACATACGAGGAAACGGCTACACAAGTGCGGTACACGCGGGTAACAACAGAGGTGGTTTCGCTGCCTTATCACATAAGAAGGGGGGTGGTGGCGCACTAGTCCAGCTCTTGAGCACTTAGGGCATGTACATCAGTTTAGATAGCTGTTGTCTATAGATTACCTCCACGTCACTTTATAGACGGTACAAAAGACACCCGGTAAAATACGCTGTCTATTA